TGAATGTTTTAGAATTTGCATTACTTTTCTCCCCCCCCCCCGCCACGCCCACCTCCAATCAACACTAAAAACTGTTTCTTGCAGCCGCCTCGGAAATGCGAGCATCCTAGCGTGCACTTTGCATTGCATCACGACGACTTCATACCCGACTGTCTATTTCGCCACTGTTTGTCAAGAGTAGAAGTTGTTCTGGTTGAGTGGGCTCCATCGCTCGAGTTGAACAAATTTAAATTCTTGTGCGAACTCCTGCAGTTGTAAAACTGAATCCACGGAACTTAGCCATCCGCGCATAAATTCTGCTAACTACATTCGAAGAGTGCGCAACGCGTGTCTGCCGAAGCACCTGAAATGGGATTATTTATTACTCAATTTATGTGTCAAAATTTTGCGCTCGTCATACGGTTTGCTAAATCCGTATAGCCATTCTATTCTTCACCGCGTTAAATGCTCATTCATTTAGTATTTTTAGACACTATGCAGTTTTTGGGTATTCAAACGTCAAAAAGTAATGCGTGGATTGGTCGGGTAATTCGGTTTGTTTTTAACCCCTTACTGGCCCATTTTTACTTAATGAATTTAGCAAAAAAATTCACTTCTAAAACGTTTTTGAAAGTTGTATTCGATTTAGATTGTAAAATGTGGCGAAGCTGTATTAGTAGTTCTCCGGGGCTGTGGTGCTTTTGGTTGGGGAATTCTTTAATTCAGGCCTTAGTTATTTACTTTGTATTTCTTAATAGTAGTAATTATTCTTATTATTATCTAACTTTATGATCGGTTTTTCGGAGAAAGCACGCTTCATATTTAAGGCTGTCACTATTTATTAATGAGTGAGAAAGCTACGTGGCTGTGGTCGGATTCTAATAGAAATGATGTGCCACTGATTCGTGTTGTTTACCCACTGCTGATAAAAGAATTTCCAAATGACGGAGAACCGAACATGGAAAATTATTCACTTTTTTCGAACGTTGTTCTCGCTGGGATGGATACTCCGTAAAATTGCTCGATAATTTGAGTTGAGTCTCGTTTAGCGGTGGAAAGATTGAAGAAAACTACAGCTGCGACACACACTATCAAGAGGAAATCCGTGGTGAAACAGATTGAAAAGGGTTCTTTTGAGATAATTGTCAATTGATTGACAAATCGTTGGACGGAGAATCGAGTCAGGTGATCAGTGAAACAATCGACTCACCCCTACGCGGAAACAAAATGCAACTGTTCCATTTGTGGTTGAGATGTGTGAAGTAAATGGTGCAACGAAATCGCCCAGCACGTTGAGATGGAACCATACTTCTGAACACGGTGTGTGTGTGTGTTATTTTACTTGGATTAACCGGAACGTAGAACGAAGTGAATACGAATGCATAAGTTACTAGTGTATGAGAAGAATAATTCATCGTAATAGTAAAACAATCATTCTTAAATGTATTCCGAACCCCTTGCTTTTGTAGGATATGTGGAAGGCAACCACGAGAGATGATGAATGTATAATGGAATCGTGATTGACGTTCTAGGTCAGGTCATATTTGATTGTATGAATACTGGAATACCGGCAGATGAAAGCGAAGCGGTGTCGAACATCCCATTCACTAATATTAGCAATATTACGATCAGTATTGCTGGTAACACTAGTTTTGAACTTCTTTTTTCCGTCTATTTTCGGCGAGGTAGCTGTGGTCAGTCACTGGCTCTCTGTAGACATGTCGTGTTGGTATGTAAGAGCG